TTGTTGGGGGCGATATGCTGATTCTGTAAACCGCTTAGAGAGGGCTGAAAGCCCTATGAAGCGGTATATAAGTCTAACTGCTATTGCTATTGCTAGATATCACATTGAAGGAATTCACATTACTTCCCCTGATTTGGGAGAGTAACGGGTTAATGGAAAAAGCCTTTATGGGTTGAAAACGCTTTTCTGGACCCGTCCTGCAAGCTGATGTTCTGGCTATAGTATTTTTATTTGTGAGAGTACAATATGAACCTGAGGACTTTTTCTCACTTATTGTTTGCCTCGCCATTTAGAATCCAGATTTATCTTGTTTTGAACAAGACTTATTTTATTTATCGCCTGCCTTCAAACTATTCAAAGGAGTGCTCATAATTCCCCTTTTGAGTCATTGAAATTTGACACTGGCATATTGTAAGCTGTTTGATTGTGAAATTTACATTGTTCAATCTAAATGACCAGTCTTCTAGCAGTGAGAACAATTTATCAGTGGAACAGCTCACCTCTGAAAGTTGTGAGTGCTCCAAAACTGTTTTCAAGAATAGACTAGGCAGCCATTTGCCCAGAATGATACAGGATCTTCCAGTCCTATTATTCAATTTCTGTATTCTAAATTATGGTATGTTAATAGAATTCTGCTAATAGGAGAGAGGAAGAGAATTTATTTCTCTGTACTGTAATTTTATAAATTTCTTGTTTCCTGAGCTTTATCCACTCCACTTGTTTTTAACCCGAGCATTTTTGTTATTCACTAGATCAGTGTTTCTCAACCTTGGTGACTTTAAGTCCTGTGGACTTCAACTCCCAGAATCCCCCAGCCAGCATGCTGGCTGGGGGATTCTGGGAGTTGAAGTCCACAGGACCTAAAGTCACCAAGGTTGAGAAACACTGCACTAGATTGAATCATAACCTAACATTTTTCTTGGCATCTGCTCATCCTATAATACCCGCATCCTGTATCTTCAAGACAGGAAAAGACTGTTTACAACCAGGCCTGCAAATTGTTACAAACTCTTTTTCATGCCCTTAGAAGCCTCTTTGATCACAACTGGCGTCATAATTTTCTGTTACAAAAAGCATACAAAAATTGAAAGTTCCCACAGAACTTTCAAAACCTCAACTCAGCTTTAGGAAACAGAAAGTAGAGCAATGCCTTTTTGGTACATTTTCTTTCTGTAATGTTTTTTTTTTTTTTAAATAGAGGCAGCTTGGTCCTACCCATTGGTGTGCTAGAGCCTTGGAAGTTACTCAAAATAATAATAATAATAATAATAATTCAGAACTGCAAAATAAGCCACTTCATATACACACACTTCATGTGTAGGCAGAGCATGACGAAAGGTTTATCATGAAGCAGCAAGATTCAATTGTAGAGGAGGAAGAACATTTATCTGGCTATGTATGCAGTTTTGAAAACAACCTCAAATTCTAGTCCAGAGAAGACATTCCTGTGGTATAGTGGTTGACGTCCTGGATTTGTGGTTATGGGGTTGAACCCATTTTGAGGCTGACCTCATGCATGAAAGCCTTCTGGGTGATTTGAGGCCAGTGTCCCTCCCTCAGTCTAACCTTCTTCGCAGAGTTGTTGTTGTGGAGGGTGGATTGATAGAGGAAGTGCTGTGTGTCCCTCACCGTGAGTCCTGGAGGAAAGGCAAGGTGGAAATCTAACCAACAACAAAATTCTGGGCATCTTGGTTTACAGCAGGGTAGTCAACCTGGTCCCTACCACTCACTAGTGGGCATTCCAGCTTTCATGGTGGGCGGTAGGATTTTGTCCGATACTGAAGCACTTTCCTTTTTTTAAATGTAATTGACTTTAAAAAAAATTCATAGCATTATTTAAAAACATTTTCATTAGGTTTTCATAAAATCACCATTACTGTGGAACTGGGTGGGTGGTTAGAAAATTTTACTACTAACAGAGATACAAAAGTGGGCGGTAGGTATAAAAAGGTTGAGGTTCACCGACAAAAGGGCGAACGACAAAACTGCGCCCGACTAAACCGCGTCGCTGACGTCATCAACAGGGTGACAACAGCGTGGAGACAGAAGCACGCTGTAAACCCTAAACCTAAACTTAACCCTTAACCCTAAACCTAACCCTAAACCTAATCCTAAACCTAACCCTTAACCTAACCCTAACCCTTAACCTAACCCTAAAGCTAACCCTAAAGCTAACCCTTAACCTAAACCTAAACCTAACCCTAACCCTTAACCTAACCCTAAAGCTAACCCTAAAGCTAACCCTAAAGCTAACCCTAAAGCTAACCCTTACCTTAAGTTAAATCGGCTTTCTTTCGACGCCCTATTTAAAGCGCCCTTCTTTCTCCGCGCTGGCTGTTGTCGCCGCGTTGATGACGTCAGCAACGCGGTTTAGTCAGGCGCGGTTTTGTTGTTCGCCCTTTTGTCGGGTCACGAAAGGTTGACTACCCCTGGTTTAGAGCAAAGAATATTAAGGTCACACTAGGCAACATGGACTGTTTTGTCAAAATGCAATATGGATATGAGTTTCTCTTACCTTACAGGAAGGTCATTAACAACATTAAACTATGATTTTCTTCTAAAGGGAAATCTCACTTGTGCAATTGAACAATGACTTTCCTCTTTTGAATGTCAGACTATGGAGCATTATTCATTAAGAGTGTGAGTGTGAGAGCGTGAGGCTTGTCTTTTCAGATGATGATGATAGTAGACAGGGACAATTCATGGCACTTGGGAATAAAACCCAGACCGGTTCTTGATGGATGAAGCAATGCTTGATAAAGCCACATAATAGCAATAGCAATTAGACTTATATACCGCTTCATAGGGCTTTCAGTCCTCTCTAAGCGGTTTACAGAGTCAGCATATCGCCCCCACAATCTGGGTCCTCATTTTACCTACCTCGGAAGGATGGAAGGCTGAGTCAACCCTGAGCCGGTGAGATTTGAACCGCTGAACTGCTGAACTAGCAGTCAGCTGAAGTGGCCTGCAGTACTGCACTCTACCCACTGCGCCACCTCGGCTCTGAGTAATAACTGTTGTTGCTAACAGTGATTCTAACAAGCTTTGCCCTTTTTTTTTTGTTCCAGCCATGACTGAACCTTGGAACTACTACCAAACGTTTGTTTTCCTTGATATTGAGTCCACCGGATTGCCCAGAGACCAACCTCGCATAGCAGAGCTGTGCCTCTTCGCTGTTCACCAATCTTCCCTGCAGCCCTCTCCGCAGGCAAGAGGACCGCAGCTCCCGCGTATCATAGACAAGCTGGTCCTCTGCGTCAACCCCCAGAAACCTTTCACTCCGGGCGCACAGGATATAACTGGCCTCAGCAACCAAAAGCTAGAACAGAACTACAAGCCGGGAATCAACCATTCTTTGATGGAGACCCTGAAAGGATTTTTAGACCGGCAAGCTGGCCCCATTTGCCTAGTGGCTCACAACGGTCTCCACTTCGACTTTCCCCTACTGCGTAAAGAACTGCGGCAAATAGGCACCGACCTGCCTGCAGATACGGGATGCCTTGACACATTGCCGGCCTTGAAGGATGTGCTTAAAGAGCCGAACCTGAGCTATAACCTGGGAAAACTCTACCAGTACTTCTATAGAGAGGCACCATCTGGAGCCCACACAGCTGAAGGAGATGTGCTTACTCTTCTCCTCGTGTTTCTTGCTAAGGCCCTTGAGCTGAAGGCTTGGGCAACCTATGGGGCCCAGAAGTGGGGGTCGATTCAACCTATGCATTTCCCCCAGTCAAACAGGTTCTGATCTCTCTCTCAAAAAAAATATCCTATCTGCTTGTCTTCCATTATACTGAACCATGATTTTTAAACGATGGTTTCTTGATTAAACCATACTTCATAAACTTCAGGACTTGGTTTCTTGACAAACCAAGCTCTTTTTCTTTCCTGGATGTAGAAAACCGCAGCAACAACCATGGAGAAGATATGCTGTGGCAATTAGAAAAACACGATTTAAGCCTCGAACAGGAAGAGAACACTAGAAAGAAATTCAATCTGGTTCTGCCTAAATTTTCTTTTGTATCAGACAGGGGAGAGACAAGAAAGAAAAATGCGATGAACTTTCAGGACTTTAATACTAATACCTATATCAATAAATTAGAGGGCCAATAAATCTTGTGGGTCCTGCTACCTGATCTGGACTTGAAGAGATCTGGACACTTGGGATCGTGTGGCAACTGTCTGATCCTGGGAGAAGATGCAGCTGCTTTAATAAGTGGCCAACACATGCTGTGTAAGGTCCCAGTGAAATCTTGCTCTTCAAATCTGAAGTGCCACGTGATCCTAGAAATTCCTTTTCATTTGCACATTTAAGGAGTTCGTCTAATTCTACTTCAGATTTTCATCATTACTTTTGAGCATAATGTACACAGTTGTTATAAAGCTAAAATTTAAAGATGCGTGCATTAGTTTCTCAGACAACTTTTCCTTATTTTAAAGGAAAGGGATTCTCCTGAAGATACGGATTTAAATCTACTGGATCTGGATTTTGCAAATATTTGGAAGGGAACTTCAGGAATCCTTTTTATGTGCTCTGAAGGAAAATAAATTATTGGTGATAAGAAGAACAAGCTTTAGAAAACGAATCTGCCACTAGTGTTCCATAATTTATTGAAGCTATGTTAAATTGGGGTAGAGGTTGTTATGGAGAATTAAATTTGAAATGTGGGGTGTTTTGGTAACAGACTTTCCACTAAAGATCCTCAAATTTTGAGGATTTGGATCCAGAGGATTTGCTCTGGATACAAATGCCAACTCACACACACACACGCCCTTATGTATCCTGAAGTAAGATTGTTCATATAAGTCCCTGTTCCTCAATTACTGCATGTCTTATATTAGTAAAGAAACCTTTACAAATTTCTGGAAGACGCCAGGTTGGAGATGAATAACGTTGCCTTAGCTTACAATCATGAATTGAAAAGTTTATTTTTGAATGGGATTGTGATTTTAATATGTTTGCGGGTGAGACCAAATTTGAACCAGGCACTTTTTGTTATATATTTCAGCCATCATTGCTTTCAGAAGGCTTTTAACCCATGGTATTTAGCATTGTGATGTATAAATATTGATGAACATGGAAGTAGCATTTCTAAATAATATTGGCATAAGGAAGTTATGCCAAACCTTCCTAGCACAGTACCTATTTAAACTCCCACATGCTTGTGAAAAAAAAAATCCTAAGTAAACAAAATGTGTTGTTCTAGAAGTACTTCCTGCTGTTTATTTGTTTATCTCTTAATTATCAGTTACATCTGATAGACTGCTTCCTTATTCTGTTATTTTCCTATTTTTTAAATCTTCTTTTATTTGATATACTGTATGAACAGTTGTGTAAAAAAAAAATCAGAGACTGAAAGGTACAATCAGTGAACTGGTTAGTTTAAAATTGTCTCCTAATTAAATTGGCCACATATTTTATTTTACAAATAAAATTTACTTTCTTTTAAAAAATTATAAATAATTGGCAGAGGTTTTCTTAAAAGAAACTCCCCTCTCTCTAATGCTGGAAGATGCAGCTTCGTTGCTACCTTCTCCAAATTTGTGGGATGCACCTCCTTGAATGCGGCCTTAAGACATCAGTAGGAATGATTTTTCCAACTGATTTTATTATAAACAAGTACATGATTTTTTTAAAAATGATTAAATTAAAGCTCATACAATAAATTGGTCACAAAATCATGCAAAGTTTCCTTCTTTTTAACTATCATAGATTGAATTGTACACCGTGTGTGTGTGGGGGGAGATTGGCGCTTCACCTGTGAAACTTTCCTCAAATTATATAGTGACACTCCAATTTGTTCTGACTTTTTAATAGAATTTGATTTAATAGATGAATGAATCTAGGTGGATAATAATCTATGGGTTTTGAAATGAATTTCCTAGTTAAGGGTTTATTTGACTCTGCACCTCAAAAATGGTATTTTAATGTTTTTAATGTACTAACTGCTGGAGATAATAAATAAATGAAAGCATATATTTCAAGTAAACTTGTGTATGGAGTTTTCTTAATACAGTAAGCAGTACTTGCCAAACATTTTCCTTCATTCACAAAAATTACTTATGAGAAATTCCTTTTTACCCAATGTTGATAAACTGTTTAAGTCAACTTAAATGTACCTGTTTACCTAAAGAAAAAAGTTTTACCTAATTTGGGGTAATTTATTCAGGCTTGGGAAGCACGGCAATACACTATTGATCTTTCTAACTGAATATAGAAGTTCTGTCTTAATACTTTTGAATTGGCCTGCAGTGGGGAAAACACTAAAATACTACAGTATGACATATTGTGAAATAACTATGGGGAATTGCTGAAATACTAAAGCGGATTTTCAACAAACTTCCTGCTTGAAGAAATTATTCACACAGTTGTAGGAACATAACAAAATTGCTAAGAAAATCAGGAGAGATATATTCAGTTAGAAAGA